TTAATTAAAACTGCTGTTAAAAGAGTTTGATAGTTTTGACATTTTGTATTTTATTTGATCAACAAATTTGAAAGAATGTTGAAAATTAAAAAAAGCACAAACTATAAAATAATTTCCAGGATCATTTTAAAGAAACTTCTCTTCAGGCTGACTTTAAAAACCTGATTTCACAGAAAACACGTCTGATTATTGTTAATGTCATAAAATGTATTTCATCAAGTTCTGGTGTTGTTCATCCTCTTCAGTCTTTTTTAATCCAGTGACTTCATCTTTATTTGATTTGATTTTTAACTCAGTAGATTTAACACAATATATTTTGTTTAAATAAGTTTTGTCATTAATCTATTTTTGTTGATGAATATTAAAACATGTTCATTCAAACGTTCTCTGTAAAACATTAATTTTCCTAAATAAACTCTTAAATTGATCTTTATTTTCTGTTGCATTTTGTTCTGCTTCTTAAATAAAACTAATTCACAGGAAAAAATGTGCTTTTTATTAAACAACGTAAACAGACATTTTTTAAAACAGATTAATTTAGCCCTTTGTGGCTCCTCAGATGGATGAAGTCCTTTGGATGAAGGACGAAACATCTCAGCAACAAAAGAAACCGTCCAGATGACCTGACTGAACATCGTTGGATAAATGTTTGTAATTACAACCCCAATATAAATAAATTGCAAACATTTTCAAATCTCAAAAATCCATGTTTTATTCACAAAGAAAGACTTTAAACATATTAACTGTGTAAATCAAGAAATTTTAACTTGTTTTGTTTTTAATTATAAGTGATTTGGAAATTTAAACCAACACTTCTTTAAAAAGCTGGAACAGGAAGTGGAAAAGGCTGGAACAGGAAGTGGAACAAACAAGAAACAGCTGGAGGAGCGTTTTGAGTCTGAATCTGTTAGAAGTAAATATGGGCAGAGGTTCACCAGTTTGCAACAAACTGGGTGTAAAAGTAGTGAAATAAATTTAAAATAATGTTCTTCAATGAAAAATTGATTGAATGGATGATACGGAAACCTGGTGGTGGTATAGTGAAGTGCAGGAAGCTATTCAAAGAAAGAGGTTAGCCAAGAAGAAATAGTAAGAGGACTCAAGAGAGGAGACAGGAATACAGGTCCTTCTCAAAAAATTAGCATATTGTGATAAAGGTCATTATTTTCCATAATGTAATGATAAAAATGAAACTTTCATATATTTCAGATTCATTGCACACCAACTGAAATATTTCAGGTCTTTAATTGTTTTAATACTGATGATTATGGCATACAGCTCATGAAAACCCAAAACGCCTGTCCCAAAAAATTAGCATATTTCATCCCACCAATGAAAGACAAGTGTTTTTAATACAAAAAACGCCAACCTTCAAATAATCATGTTCAGTTATGCACTCAATACTTGGTCGGGAATCCTTTTGCATGAATGACTGCTTCAATGCGGCGTGGCATGGAGGCAATCAGCCTGTGGCACTGCTGAGGTGTTATGGAGGCCCAGGATGTTTCGATAGCAGCCTTAAGCTCATCCAGAGTGTTGGGTCTTGCGTCTCTCAACTTTCTCTTCACAATATCCCACAAGTTCTCTATGGGGTTCAGGTCAGGAGAGTTGGCAGGCCAATTGAGCACAGTAATACCATGGTCAGTAAACCATTTACCAGTGGTTTTGGCACTGTGAGCAGGTGCCAGGTCGTGCTGAAAAATGAAATCTTCATCTCCATAAAGCTTTTCAGCAGATGGAAGCATGAAGTGCTCCAAAATCTCCTGATAGCTAGCTGCATTGACCCTGCGCTTGATAAAACACAGTGGACCAACACCAGCAGATGACATGACACCCCAGTGACTGTGGAAACTTGACACTGGACCTCAAGCAATGTGAATTCTGTGTCTCCTCTCTTCCTCCAGACTCTGGCACCTTGATTTCCAAAGGAAATGCAAAATTTACTGTAATCAGAGAACATAACTTTGGACCACTCAGCAGCAGTCCCAGGCGAGATGCTTATGACGCAGTCTCTTGTTCAAGAGTGGCTTGACCTGGGGAATGTGGCACCTGTAGCCCATTTCCTGCACACGCCTGTGCACGGTGGCTCTGGATGTTTCTACTCCAGACTCAGTCCACTGCTTCCGCAGGTCCCCCAAGGTCTGGAATCAGCCCTTCTCCACAATTCTCCTCAGGATCCGGTCACCTCTTCTCGTTGTGCAGCGTTTTCTGCCACACTTTTCCCTTCCCACAGACTTCCCACTGAGGTGCCTTGATACAGCACTCTGGGAACAGCCTATTCGTTCAGCAATTTCTTTCTGTGTCTTACCCTCTTGCTTGAGGGTGTCAATGATGGCCTTCTGGACAGCAGTCAGGTCGGCAGTCTTACCCATGATTGCGGTTTTGAGTAATGAACAAGGCTGGGAGTTTTTAAAAGCCTCAGGAATCTTTTGCAGGTGTTTAGAGTTACGTCGTTGATTCAGATGGTTAGGTTAATAGCTTGTTTAGAGAACCTTTTCATGATATGCTAATTTTTTGGGACAGGCATTTTGGGTTTTCATGAGCTGTATGCCATAATCATCAGTATTAAAACAATTAAAGACCTGAAATATTTCAGTTGGTGTGCAATGAATCTGAAATATATGAAAGTTTCATTTTTATAATTACATTATGGAAAATAATGACCTTTATCACAATATGCTAATTTTTTGAGAAGGACCTATATAAGGAGATGGGACGTAGAGCAAAGAAAGCAAATTAGAATATGTATAATGACTTGTATGGGAGGTGGGACACTAAAAGAGGTTGAGAAGGACTTGTACTGATTGGCGAGACAGGGATCAGGCTGGAAAGGATGTGCAGCAGCTTAGCCTTGTCAAAGATAGGAATGGTAATGTTCTAACAAGTGAGCAGACCGTGATGCGAGGATGGAACCACAATGTGTGTTGACATTATTTTGATGCCTATATATGTTGTTTTCACAAGTGGTGTTTCATGACACACGCCAAGGTTTCAACTCCATTACTGGGAACCACTAGTTGTAACAATAACCAAAACGATTATAACAGCATTTTGTATGTGAATGGCAAACAAAAATAAATGTTTTCTAGGCTTGGAGGATTGTCAATATTTATTTGAGAAAGAATTTAAGATCTAATTATTTACCACTAAAACTTGCCTGGTTCTTTAATGTCGAAACAATAATAATAATAATAAAAAAAAAACAAGAGCTGCATCAAGACTTTTGCACAGTTTGTTTGTCCTACACATCCTTCACTGAAGAATAAGAACTAATGCTGTGTTGTATAAATATAAAATATGTTTTATAAATGATAATTTTCCTTAAATTTTAAACTGATATTACTCCAAAAACATCATTTATTTGGGGTAAAACTGGGATTTAACAATGCTCAAACTATTGATTGAAAGAGGACCAAAACAACAAAACTCTTTTGTTTTGTTAATACTTTAATAAAATCACGTACAAAATTAAGTTAAGAAAAAAAAAAAGCTTTGCTACATGAATCTGAGTGGGAAAAAAAACCCAACTTAAAACCACAGAAAACATAAATATGAGCATGCATTCTGAATTATTAAAAAAGTTAATGTGTACTGGAGTTACTTTTCTTCATTTAAAGCACGAAGAAGCCAAACAGCCTGATGTTAAGGAAACTTCTTGTTGACTCAGTTTAATAGTTTGTCAGTGAGAATGTGGAAACATTTCTCTCTTCACAGCAACAATCTTCCCCAAACCTGACGTCTGATCATTCCTCTGCTCTTGTGCAGATGAGAAAGAAACTCTGAGGCCTAAACACACAGTGTATTTGTGTGTGGACAGTGTGTATCTTATGTTTGGTGTGTGTTATGAGTAAAAGGTGAGGACACTCTGGTGGTTTCCTCGGACCAGCAGCAGCGGGGGGAGGTCTTTGGACAGGGTCTCCAACCAGCACATGTAGAGGGCGCTCGACACCGTGCCCTTCCTGGCCAAAGGCATGCTTCTGCTCACAAACACAGACAAAACAGTTTCCATCACTTCACGCTATTAGGAATTAAAAGATATCAGAAAGTGCATCGCTGTAAAAAAAAAAGATTCTGAAGTCTTTGTCACAGCCTCACTTTGAAAATAAATGCCTTTATTCGCCACATCGGGGTTTTATTTAAAAAAAACAGTTTTTCTAAAAATAAATTTCTACATTTATTGGTCAATTTTCAGCCGTTTTTACTTGTACCTTCCAAATACAAAGTTTACTGTAAATTGATGAAACTCTCAGAAAATCTTCTTCAGATTTATGTTTACACCTGATTACCTTGATGTCAAACCAGTTCAAGATGGCTGCCACAGCTCTTCAACGTTAGTTAACACAAAAATGGCTAACTTGGACAGTTTTACTGATAGTGAGCTAAAATTGGGTGTGGTAGTAGCTGAGCATCCTTAACAACATGTGCTTTAAGTGTAAACATGTCGTATGATATCTTTGAGTAAATTTTGTCAGGTGGATTCCTTCAAGGAAGTTAATGTCTCTGCTTCTTCATCTTCTTCTTCTTGTGTCTTTTCCCTCTTCAGGGGTCACCCACAGTGAGTCATCCTCCTCCCTCTCACTTTATCCTCACTCCATCTCCATGTCTCTAACTGCATCCATATATCTCCTCTGTCTTTTTCCTGGCAGCTGCATTTCTAACATCCTTCTACCAGTATACCCACTGTCTCCTCTGGACATGTCCAAACCATCTCAGTCTGGTCTCTAACTTTATCTCCCAGTTGTTCAACCTGTGTTGCACCTCTGATGATCTCATTCATAATCGTATCCATCCTTGTCACTCCTAAGGAGAACAACATCTTCATTTCCACTTCCAGTTCTGTCTCCTGTCTTTTTGTCCATGCCTGTGTCTCCAAGTCATACATCATAGCTGGTCTCACCACGGTCTTGTAAACTTTTCCTTTGATGTTTGCCGCCATCTTTTTGTGACAAATCACTCCTGAAACTTTTCTCCATCCAATTTAAGGAAGTTACTGCTTAATGACAAAAAATATCACAGGCTCTGTTGCCTGAGAAACATCAATGTGTGAAACTTGAGGGGTGTTTGAGCATGAGAGTCGGTGTTTTCGAAGTCAGTAATAAAAAAAAAAAACCACATGAAAAACTCAAACTTAAACTTTAAACCCTGCTGCCATTCTTGGCCAGGTCTCTAAAGACATTCATCTAAAAGTACTCGTTACGTTCAGCTTCAAAATTTAGACCTCTAAGATAAATTCCTCTGAAGACGTGCTGCTGAGGTCTGACTGATTTATCTGAAGGTTATCTGAGAGCTCATTTTGTCAGTAAAACATTTGTTGAAACTGAAAGTTTGACATGTGAGGAAGGAGAAGAATCACTCTCTTGTTCCTCGGAGGGATCAGAGGAGTAAAGTTCTTACATGACGATGAGCTTGGCGGTGCTGGAGTGTTCCTTCAGCAGCTCGTTCAGCCTGATCTGACGGTTGGTCTGGGGGGTCAAACAGGGAAACTGAGCTTTAACGGGCAGAGTTCTGGTACTGGTTTGGGTGGCTGTGTCTGCAGTGTGTGGACCTTGGCCTTGTAGAGCTCCAGTTCGTTGTCAGTGATCCTCCAGGGCTCCTGAGCCTTCAGCCTCTCCGCAGCCTCCTGCTCCATGTCGTCCTCCCTCAGCCTGTATGGCTCGATCAGCTCCTTAAAACTCAGCTTACTGTCAAACAGAACCCATCTTAGTTTAGCTTTACCCAGTTCCAGACTGGAGTAAACGACGTCAGAGGTTTTTGGAGGTCATACTTGTGTTTTTTAGGTTTCACATTGATGTCTCCGAGAACGTTGATGTCAGAGAAGTCGATTCTGAACCTGCTCAGCAGGGTGGCCATCCTGGTTGGACACGATGAACAAAACATCAACATGTAAGAGTTTTCCAGTATTTATTCTTGATGAAAACCTGTCAGAAGAACAGACGTGTACTCACGTTCGACGGTCGTGGTCAATTCGGTTAATCTTTCCACCGATGAAGACTCTGATTCTGCAGTCGCTCCACTTGCTCCTGGTGGTCAGCAGATATGGAATCAGCAGAGTCAGACCTGCAAACACACATGCAAGAGTTTCTGTAAGACACAGTTCAAGCTTTCTTTCCTGCAGCTGTTATTTAGTATCTTTGTTATTTTGTGGTCTGGTCTGTTTAAGAGAGAAAGAATGAAGTTCTCTGCCGATTCATCTGAAGCCTGAACTTTAATGGAATGACGTAAAAGAACCAAACATCTGTTCTTCTGTGTGCAAAATTTCTACAAACAACAAATAGTGAGTACATGAAAACTGACCTCCGTCATCAAACAGCCACCACACGTCTATGGTTCCTTTACCCTGTTTCTTCTTGAACATCTGGCTGCTCTCCAAGAGACGCTGGTCAGTCAGACTCAGAGGGGATTTAGTTTCTGTAGCTGGTGGATGACAGACACAAAAATGAAATGACAAAATCAGTGACATGAAAAGCCTGCAGCCCATTTCTACCAGACGCTAAAAGGAACATTTAAAATGGTGGTCAAGCTGCAATGATCAGTGACTCAAACATGTGACAGATGAAAGCCTGGGCTACCTCTCATGATGAGTGGGCTGCTCTGGTTGCTGGGGTTTTTTGACAGACAGGAGTCAGAATCTGAGTCTTTAGCCAAACTGACAGAAATCAGAACATCTTTACTGTCTTTTGGTGGCTTCTCGCTGGGCTGCAGAAGCTCATCTGCAAGGCAAACAAACCCAAACTAAAAGTTATTTTAATTTCTTTATTTCCATCAAGTTTTGCTCCTGGAATCATCTTTTTCTTCAAGGGATCAACATTCCAGAGGCCTGCCCTCAAACCACTGTCCAGTTTGCAATGCACCCAATCCCCCTCCAGGCGGTGGACCCACATAGAGGTGGTGGTCAGTCATTTCTTGAAGCTTGGCCTAGCTGAGCCCCAGATGCCAAGGTTGGACCACCAGGCTTGGCTCCAGGAGAGTCCTCTGGTTTCCCTGACCTGGGCGAGGTATCCTGACAAGCATGATCATTTTCTCTCTGTCTGACCCTGAGGGCAGGTTGTCGTTGGAGATTTACCTGACCACATACCCCCCCACCCCCAGGATCAACGGGGTTCTCAAGCCCCTTCACCATGTGGAGATTCTGCAAAAGAGAGAACTGGAAAAATATGGAATGGTTCCTCTGGGTTGGAGATAAGTCTCTGCCTCAAACTGAGGAGTTCAAACATCAGCGTTTTAAGATGGATTGACAAAATGGGGCATCGTTGACAGTAATAAGAATGTTGCTCCTGTCTGCTGTGGTGAAGAAAGATATGAGCCGAAAGGCAAAGCTCACAATAATCAAGCTACACTCCAACTTTCATCTTTAGTCATGAGGCATGAATTTTGACCAAAAGAACAAGATCCAGGATAAGTGTAAGACTCCACAAAGTAAATATTTTCACTACTGAAAATAAAATCAGTGTTCTATCAAATTGTAATCATGACTCCGTGGAGTGGTGCAGAAGTTGGAATCTCCCATAATTAATTACGTCCTGGTACCCTTTTATTGCGTCGGGGTGTAACAGTCGTGAAAAGATACACAAAACAAAATATGTACCTTGCCCCTGAATGTGAGAGATGTCCAGTCCATCCAGAAGTCTGAGGATCACGACTCCGAACTGGAGGTCAAAGGCGTCACTGGAATGTAGAAAATGGTGTTAGACACAAAAACAATGACTGGGAAATTTTGGTTTAATTCAACAGGTTCTGATTTTTAACAGATTGAATGTCCTTGCTGGATAGAGTTGATGTAATTCTCCACATCTCTCATGTCTCCGTCACTCCAGTTGTTCTTGAAACCCATGACCAGCGTGTTGGGCTTCAGGCGACCCAAACCCACAGCCTGAAGAAAAAGGTGTGATGATAGAACAAAGTATTTTCAACTGAACAGAGATTTGGAGCAAATTTTGTAATTAAGAGGAAACCAAAGGTGTTTTTTTAACCTGCAGGAGCAGCTGTGTCCCTTGTCTCAGGTTGTCAGCAAAAACAGGCGTGTAAAAGGCCTTGATGCGTTTCTTACTGAGCCAGCGCCGACAGCGAGCGTAATCCTGGGACAGCTCCTTGAAGTTTGGCCGACGAGACACCTGGAAAGAACCAAACGCACACGAGTGGTTGGAGAAGTTGTGAAGAATCATCACAGCATCACTGTCGATACGTACAGTCCTGACGTGGCCGCAGACCATCAGGCTGACGTTCTTGGTGAAAGAGTGGACCAGCTGCAGCAGAGCGGGGCGAGAGTTTGGATAACCGGCCAGAACTAAGCACTGCGGCCTGAAAACAGGAACACAACCATAACTATGACCATGATGATGAAGTTACACAACCAGTGGTGCATGTTTTCAGTCAGACCTGAAGTTTTTAACATGATCCTCGACTCCGGAGAGATTCAGGCAGTGAGTCAGGGCCTGGTTGTAGATCAGAGCCTGAGTGGACGAACCCCAGTTCACATCTGCAGGAAACAACGACAGATTTGAGCTGAGACGACAAGGAACTGGGTTCAGTTTATGCAATGAAACAAAGATTTTAGCTTTAGCATAACAACATTTACATTGGCCTGTTGTAAATGACAAAAAAATAAGAAGTAAAAAGCAGCACCGTGAAACATAAAGATTCAGGAATTCTGTCTAAATGCCTCATCACCGATGTCTCTCATGTAAATACCATACCATACCAATTTATTTATAAAGCACTTTAAACAGTGACAAAGCACACCAAAGTGCTGTACAGGGACAAACAGAACAAGCACACAGCAACAGATTACATAACAGGACACCAAAAAGTAGAAACCAACAAAAACAATGAACTAAACTAGTAAATGAACTTTTCTTCAAGTCCGGTCTCCTCATCCTGTTCTCACCTGGTTTTTTGTAGCTGACGTAGATGTAGAGCGCGAGGACAATGAGCAGGGTGACGAGGGCGGCCCACCAGTTGATGACAAACATCACGACGCAGCACAGGATGGCCCCCGCCAGAGACACCCACATGTTGTAGTACTTGAAGCTGGGACGCCACCCTGCAGAGAAACAACACACACAAAGGATAAGAAGGCTGAAGAATCACTGAATTAAACACAAATCAGATAAGATTCCACCACATATTTCACATTCTTTGTTTTATTTAACAAGGTTGAGTCAGGTCCTAAATATTTAAAATATTTAAGTTCTAACTCAGTAACTACTTGGAACTGGTGCTCAGTATCGGCAAGTACCCAAATGAATGTAATTTCTGGACTATTGAGCGCATCCAAATATAAGCCACGCCCACTACATTTAAAAATAATAATAATAATTTTGTACATATATAGGACGCACTTGTGTATAAACCGTTGGTGTCCACGTTCTAACGTGAGACATTTACACAGAAAGATTTTTTTAAATGTGTACCAGTAACATACACAAATACGTACAGTAAATGTTTTTTTCTGAACAGTCCCAGTAACACAGCTGGTTAAAAAAAATACAGTAGCCTACCAGGAAGTCATTGATCGCTATCTTCATCTTCCTCCTGCAGAGGATTTTTAAAAAACTGCTCCTCTGTCAGGATCCACCGGCAGACTGGAGCAGCTGCTCTTTGCACGTCACCAGTTTTGGTAAACGATTTCTTGTCACCAGTCATCCAAGCCTCCCACCGAGCTTCGAATGTCACGTTAATACACGATTCACACTGATATCGAGTGGCTGCGAATACTTTGTTGTGCCCCCAGGGAGGGGCACAAGTTCCCCCTACTCGTTCTCTCCTCCACTCCTCGTTTCATTGGTCGACTGTGACCTGTTTGGTAATTTCATAGGTCAGATATTTTTTAACCTTTATTTATGCAGGTATGACGTGGACCCACCCCCACAGGAGAGATGTGTACTGGGCAGCTATGTGAGCGCCGGGGTGTGACGAGGCTAAATATTTTGGTGGCAGGAAGCTCATTAGCACGTAAAAAAACAAAAATCCATAAATTAGCCGCAGCTTTGTATAAGCCGCAGCCTTGTATAAGCCGCAGCCTTGTATAACCCGCAGCCTTGTA